TTTAGCCGGACAAAAACACCTCGGCTAAAAGTCTGGAGTCGAATAATGCATCAACTCTTTTAGCCAAGCAAAATCCCCTCAGCTAAAAATATAAAATCATAGGAAAATAATGAGTTTATATATTTGTTTATTATTTTTTTTATTAAATTAGTTTTTAGTTTTTTTTAAAACATATTCCAAAACCTAACCATACAGAGCTTAATTTTTCTTTCATTCATACACTCTTCCTTTGTTATTGTTGTCACTTTCAACCCTTCATCACTACCACTACCGCAACTCCTAGCTCATTCATTTTCATCATGTACCTCTTCAATCAACCTTGAAAGTGGGCGATTCATGGCAGGGGACTTATGAGAATGCATGGTTCATGGAAAAAAGTAGCCGCAAGCGAAAAAGAAAAAAGATGACTGAAGGGGATGGTAGATGAAAGAGGTGGCGCTGGTGATGAAGGATGCTTGTGGTGTTTTACAAATTAGGATTTGAGTGGAAGAAGATAAGGGTATTATGGTATTTTTATTTTAGGATAAAATTATATTAAGGAAAAATTTCATTAAGGCTTAGTTTGTTTATGATGAAATATGTAGAAAATGAAAGAAGGAGAAAAAATTTAACTTCTATGAGTTTGTTTAGCTTGAAAGTAGTGGAAAATATAAGAAAACTAATTTTCTTGTATAACCCATATTAGCATCGTAACTATTTTTTTTGTTGTTGCAAAAAACACAAGAAAAATTGAATGTATGAGTTACCTATAACTAAACTTTTAAATTTTTATATCTTTTTTTTTTCAAAATTTTCAACTCAATCAACTGTTTGCAAAAAAATATTTTTTCTTTTCTATTTCTTTTCTTTCACGTTATTTTCTTTTACTTTCACTTTCTACCAAAATTTCTTTCTAATTAAATGGAACCTAAGTGAGTGAACTGAGAAGAATTAGTTTGTGAAAATAGAATTACCTCTAATACCATAATATTGTGCACAAATAAATACAATTTATTTTATATTTCTAACATAATATAATCATACTAGTAATCCTCTCAATCAATTCTACTATATACTAATAATCTTATCCAACTTAATTCGACAAACAAAAGGGATCAAATTTAATTGGGCAAATTACATATACTCCCCTCGAGGTTTGGCTAAATTACAGATATCCCCTGAAGTTTGAGAAATTACAAATTCTCCTCTGAATGCTATATTTGCATAACAAATTAGGGGTAATTTGTTATGAAATATAAACCTTAGGGGGCATATTGTTATCAAAATACAAAGCTCAGGGGGCGGGATGTAATTTCTGAAACCTCAGGGGGATATTTGTAATTTAACTAAACCTCGAGGGAGGTATTTGTAATTTGCCCAATTTAATTAAAGGGGTTGAATTGAAACAAGTAGGATTTTTAAGGGATCAATAGTGCAATTTTTACTCTTTAATTAATTTATTTATTTAAACCTAGTTTGTTTATACTGGTTGAAATTTTTTTAAAAATTTTAAAAGAGAAAGAAAAAAATTGTATAAAATTAGATAAAATATAGGGTGATGCACCAATAAATCCCAAATTAACAACTTATACACTATTTAGTCCTAAAAGTTTTCTTATATACTGAAAGGTCCCATTATAGAAAAATTGACCATAGAGGACATATACATCAAATATCATCATCATCAAAACAACATCATTATCATCAAAACAACATCAAACATCACAACATTATTATCAAAACAACATCAAACATCACAACATCAACATCAAAACAACATGAAACATCATCATCAAAACAACATCAAACATCACAACATCAACATCAAACAACATCAAACATCATCATCAAAACAACATCAAACATCACAACATCAACATCAAACAACATCAAGCATCATCATCAAAACAACATCAAACATCACAACATCATCATCAAGCATCATCATCATCATCACATCATCAACAACACGTCACAACATCAAACTAAAAAAAAATAACATCAAACATCAACATATACATTATAATGGTTCAACACATTTCCTAAACCCTAACAATTAATTGCTGTGTCGAAGAAGAAACCCTAGAATTTTCACATTGATTCCATATGGGACTCAAAAAGCAAAACATCTCATTCTTTTGCTTCATCGATCGGGAATGAAGATACATGCGAATACATATATATAGAGAGAGAGAATCTGAGGAGTTGAGAGGGAGAGAAGTGAAGATAGATCTGATCTGATCGGATCTTGGGTTATTCTTCGCAAACATCATCCCCCGCCGCCGCCGCTTGAGCTTGATTCTGTAATGGCGTCCCCTGCCACTGCTGTTTCTAGTTCGAAGGAAAAGCGAACCCCAAAGGCAAATCAGTTTTAACCGCCGGTTGATTTTGCTACTGGAAAGAACAGATCAACGGCGGGCGATAGAAGAGAAGAGGGGAAGAGGGAGGAGAAAGAAGAGAAGAGCCGATTGGGATTGGAGATGATGAATTGCAGAGGCCTTATGGCCATCAATGTGATCCGTCCCAAGGAGTACTGGGATTACAAAGCCCTCACCGATCAATGGGGGGAACAGGACGATTATGAGGTTGTGAGGAAGGTTGGGATTCTGGTTCGAAGGAAAAGCGAACCCCAAAGGCAAATCAGTTTTAACCGCCGGCTGATTTTGCTACTGGAAAGAACAGATCGACGGCGGGCGATAGAAGAGAAGAGGGGAAGAGGGAGGAAAAAGAAGAGAAGAGCCGATTGGGATTGGAGATGATGAATTGCAGAGGCCTTATGGCCATCAATGTGATCCGTCCCAAGGACTACTGGGATTACAAAGCCCTCACCGATCAATGGGGGGAACAGGACGATTATGAGGTTGTGAGGAAGGTTGGGAGAGGGAAATACAATGAGGTTTTCGAGATCGGACGCCGAGGAAGTTCTGGACGTTTACATGTTCCATTTTTTTTTTGTGGGTTTGGTTCGAAATCGATTTCTACGTATTGGGTTGTGGGTTTGGTTCGAAATCGATTTCTGCGTATTGGGTTAATTTAGGTCTGATCTGTTCGTTGGGATTGTAAGAAGTTAGGGTTTCAAAGGTTTAGGGATTGATTGGTTTGTGTTACTTCTGATGTTCACCATGTTGATGATGTTGTTATTGTTCATGATGATGTTGACGATGTAAAAACCCTAGGCGTTCTGAAGATGTTTGATGATTTTGCTAATGTTTTGATGATGTTGATAATGTATGTTTGATGTTGTTTTAATGATGATGTTTGATGTTATTTTGATGATGATGTATAAATGGGACTAAATGGTGCATAAGAAAATTTTTAGGACTAAATGGTTCGACTTTTCAGAAAATAGGATTTATGGGTAAATTTTCCTAATTTGTATATATTTGAAGCTTGGTTCCCATTTTTTAAAAACAGTTTTTAAAAAATTCTACACTCTTATTTTTCGTATAATGCTAAACATGCATGGGACAAGGACATGCAGGGACATTAGTCCAACATGCCGCATGGCGTATGCAAGCTTTAATTTTTTTTTATTGGAGATGATGAATTGCAGAGGCCCTATGGCCATCAATGTGATCCGTCCCAAGGAGTACTGGGATTACGAAGCCCTCACCGTTCAATGGGGGGAACAGGACGATTATGAGGTTGTGAGGAAGGTTGGGAGAGGGAAATACAATGAGGTTTTCGAGATCGGACGCCGAGGAAGTTCTGGACGTTTACATGTTCCATTTTTTTTTTGTGGGTTTGGTTCGAAATCGATTTCTACGTATTGGGTTGTGGGTTTGGTTCGAAATCGATTTCTGCGTATTGGGTTAATTTAGGTCTGATCTGTTCGTTGGGATTGTAAGAAGTTAGGGTTTCAAAGGTTTAGGGATTGATTGGTTTGTGTTACTTCTGATGTTCACCGTGTTGATGATGTTGCTATTGTTCATGATGATGTTGACGATGTAAAAACCCTAGGCGTTCTGATGATGTTTGATGATTTTGCTAATGTTTTGATGATGTTGATAATGTATGTTTGATGTTGTTTTAATAATGATGTTTGATGTTATTTTGATGATGATGTATAAATGGGATTAAGGCTTGGTTTGGCATGTCCTAAATAATACAAAAAGACAAAAAGTCACTATCCTATTTAAGTCACATCATCTTATTTAAATTACATCACCTCTCTAACACATCACATCAAATCCAACCCAAACCCAACCCATATAAGTCAATAAGTCAAAAAGTGCACTTTTTTAGAACATCCCAAACCAACCCTAAATGTTGCATAAGAAAATTTTTAGGACTAAATGGTTTAACTTTTCAAAAAATAGGATTTATGGGTAAATTTTCCTAAAATGTATATACACTTTGCTTGGTTCCCATTTTTTAAAAACAGTTTTTAAAAAATTCTACACTCTTATTTTTCGTATTTTTTTGTTTTTACTGAATTTTTTAAATATTTTATGCAATTTTTTTACTTTTTAGACACACCTAATATAAATACACTTAAAAAGTAAAAAAATTGTAAAAAAAATCTTTTAAAAATTTACTAAATACCAAAAATATAAAAAATACAAGAATTTAGTACATTTTTTATATTTTATGTATTTCTTAATTTTTTAAAATATTTTTTCACAATTTTTTTACTTTTTAGACACATTTAAATAAGGTACATTTAAAAAAATAAAAAAGATATTTAAAATTTTAAAAATATTCATTAAAAACAAAAAAAAATTAAAAATCAAAAAATTCAATTTTTAAAAGATTTAATTTAAAAAACTCAAACCTTGATTTACTTTTTAGACACATCTAAGTAAGGTACATCTAAAAAAGTAAAAAAGATATTTAAAATTTTAAAAATATTCATTAAAAATAAAAAAAATTAAAAATCAAAAAATTCAATTTTTAAAAGATTTAATTTAAAAAACTCAAACCGTGATACCTATTTTTCCTTTTACACTTTTTTTTCTTCTTCTTTTTTTTTTTTTTTTTTTTTTTTTCAAATCTCTTCCTGCCAGCGTAATTTTTTCTATTTTTCCCCAAGTGGAGAGTCTTTGGGGTTCTGTCCCGTCGGCTCTCTAGGCTTCCACCTCCTCCTCCTCTCTCTCTCTCTCTCTGTGCAAAACCAGGGTCTCTCATCCACAGGCTTCTTCTGCGAGCCCTCACGTGCTCTTCTGTTACCTCAATTAGGGTTTTTCATTACCTTGAGCTACAAAATCCATCGATCGGTCTCCGTTAACCCCTCAAGCTGAGCCTCTCGCTGTCGGTGCTCAGAGCTTCTTCATCTGTATGTCTCTTTCTCGCTTCTCTGTTATTTGTATCACTTGCTCGCATGTTTAATTGATTTAGCAATTTCAATTTATAGCAGTACCGCTTGCAATTTGCTGCACCATGTGTACGAAGAAAAGTTCATGACTAGTTAATTTTTTTTTTTTTGGTACCCATTTTGTGTTTGTTGAAATGGGTATGTGGGTTTGTTCGAATGTCGTTGATAGAGAATGTTTAGAACTTTTACTTGAAATCGAGCTATACGACTTCAAGTGTATTTATCTTGTTATTGCCTCCATTTAATATGTATATTTGATATATGATGTCATTGTACACTTTCAAGTGTCAACGAATATGGGGGTTTTTTAAATTGAAGAAGGATTGTTGCAGATTAGCAGTTTTTTTAGTTGCTATTCAAAGGCACTTGGTTTCACACACGTACACATATTTTTGGTATATATTATGCAAATCTTTAATTTATTTATTTTTCTGTGCAAAATTTTTGTTCTGTTTGATGACTGGGTGTCCGGCCAGCTTACGTGCACAAAGATTTTTCTGTGTAAAATCTTTGTGGGGATGGGTATCACACATAATTTATTCTGGCATACTTTACTGTCACTTGGCCCCTTTCTACTCATTGGAAGCCTCCTCCATAAGTATGCCAATTTGATGCAAGCTTTAATTTTTTTTTTTTTTATCTTTTTATTATTTTCCTTTTCATATGGATGGAATCTCTGAGCTTCTATGCAGTGTATTTGGTGCTCTCTCACAATGTGAGGCATAAGCCTTAAAGCATCAAGGTGTAAGCATTTTGAATTTTTATGTTTAGAAAATAAATTAAATATTTTAAATTAGTAAAAAATATTAAAAGATAATTATAAAACCATAAATACTTTATGTTCAAGGCATCAAACATTTCACTGCTTATAATTGAACTTGTTCACACTGAAAATGAAATCAGCATTCTTAGCTTCAATGATCGAACTTCTCTTTATAGCCTTGACTTTATTATTATTTTTTTTTTCGATTGATCATTTACTTTATTTTTCCTATGGAATATATTATGTAGTTGCAAAATATATTATTATTATTATTATTTTATGGTTAAACCATCTACTAAGTTTAATACGAGCCTAAGACAAACTCTTCATATGCGTACTCCTCATATGTTTATGTGCAAAAGACGTACAAGGAGCATGCCTCACACTGTGATGCGCAAGTCTTTAGGGAGTGTAGCCTAAAAGTCAAAGCCTTGATACGTTTTATCTTAGCGTCATCTCGATGTGCGTCTCAATAAAGCCTTTTAAAACTTTGCTCGTACCTTTATCAACTAATCAACATCTTCTATGTCATCATGATGACATGGGTTTGGTCTACGTGGCAGCCATGTCAATAACCCCAAAAAGGGGTTTAAATGGGCTGTGTGCAGCTTAAAACAATCTAAACATGAGCCTAATTGGGACGCCTTCTTGCTAAAATGGGTCTTATAGGGTAGCTTTTGAAGCTTCTTTATGATTGTTTGATGCAATCAAACGCTAGGTGGGATGTTCAAGGGATTCTAGGAGTGATTACTAGAATCCCTTCTTCTTTTTCTTCTTCTTCGTGCACATATCCTAGTTACTATTCTCGGGTTACTGTAGTATTCTCAGGTTACAATTCACAGCATTCTAAAAGTGCACTTTTCAACTTCAAAACCCTATCTAATAACCCCCAAATCAACCCTAATCCCTTCCTCTGCTTATTAGCCTTTAATTTAACCCTTAAAGCCCTAAATCACTCACTGTTTAGGCCGTTAAATAAAATCTATTTTCAAAATCCAGCGCTGTTCTACATCAAGGGCATTTGATTATTCTAGATTTGTTGGACATGGGTGTAGGCACTAAAATTGTGATATGGTTTTGTTAGCGTTTGATCACAAACTAACTAAGCTTGATTGATCAAAAAAGTCTAAATGATCAAAATCAATATGGGTACCACCAAAATCATGAGAATTTAACATATTTCAAAATATGGGACATATCAAAAGAAAATTGTCGATTCCTTTTTGTTAACAAGTGTCACCTAGTTGGATCAAGCCAACGATGTGGGTCCCTTAGTGACACATGCCAAATTCTCTAAGGAGGTAAGGAATTGTGCAGTCTAAATTTAGGGTAAATTACACTCACCTCCCTAGGTTTGAGGAAAACATAATTAACCCTACATTTTTGACATAAATCCTTTTAGTAAAAGTTGAAGTGACTGAAACTAATGCAGATAGTGGGTAGACATTAAAATAAACAAAGATATTTACATTTTAGTAGAAAAGAGATGACAACATTATTTTTTCATTTATACAAAACAAATTATTGATGAAAAAGGACTTAACTGTTATGTGAATTAAAATCTCAAGGGAGACCAGTGTATTTATGTCAAAAGTGTGGGGTTTAACTATATATATATATTTTTCAAACTTCAGGGGATGTGAGTGTAATTTATTTTTAAATTTAGATAGAAATTTCTTCCATGATAATTTGACAAATTTCCTCTTACTTTGTAAATTATATCAATTAAAAAGAAATTCAAATATAGGGCATTTCCAAACTAACAATCTTCTTTAGCCTATAAACGGAGGTTGTCATTCATGAAGGTTGCAATGTTCACGCAAAGTGCTACAAGCGAAAAAGTATTCGTTTCTCGATTATGATGTTTTGGGCATGTTGAAAGATTTGCTTGAAAAGATGGTCATTCAATTATTAGAAAGCAAGAATCCAAAGCAGATTAGATGAGTTAATGATCTAAAGCTTTGTGGTTAGAATCAGATGATTCATATATTGTATGATTCGGTTCGATACACGTACCAATTGATACGAACTAGTAGAATCGGAAATGGCAATGAATCACACCTGTATCGTTGAATTGATCGCTAAATTGCAAGAATCCCACGATTCGAGAAATCGTGGGTCAACCTGCAATCAGTTGGACTCGAGTGGATTTTTTTTCATTTTTGACACATTTTGTTTTGTTGATTTATTTTGCTGGAGAATGGATTGATTAGGTCTTCTAAGACCTTTCCAGTTATTATATAACAATCCCATTGTCTTTTGGTTTGCCTATTAACTCTCAAACGACAAAACCCTAGAAAAAAGAACTTTTTTTTTCTTTGTATAGTTACGAAGCAGTTGCTTTCGCTGTTGGGTCCTTGCACCTTCAACTTTAAGTGAATCTTGAAGCTTCAACAAACTTTTAAAGTGTGGTGCTTGGACTTTGAGCTGCTATTGGTCCACAAACTCTATATGGTACTGTTTGCTGTACAAAAACCTAATCGAATAGTTTATAGTTTGGCCACTTTGAGCCTTTTTATTACTTTAGTACTATGAAGCACGGGTACATCAAAAATGTTGTCATACAAGTACTAGGTACTTACCCGTTATGGGTACGCGTACCAGTACAGCTGTACGCGTACCGGGTATGGCTAAAACGTATCTGGTACGTTTTATATGACCTGTATACATCTGGTATGCCTTGGGTACTCCATTGGTGCGCGGTTGGGTATGCCCGGGTCAAAACAAAATTTATAGAATTTTTTAGGAGCACCGCAACAAATATTTTTGCCCATTTTGAAAAATTAAACAAATATGAGGTGTTTAGTAATAATAAAAAACATAAAAATAAGTAATATCTATAATTGTTTGAAGAAAACCCTAAATTATTCCAAGAACCAGAGGTTGAGAGTCATGTCTACTTCCATTCGAAGAACAAAGCTGTTGAATCTGCTCTCCATCAAAGACGACACTGGTGGTCATCGACAAAGCTCAATATTCCAGTGAGTTCCTCTTCTTCTTTGATTTTTCTTCCTCTTTCTTCTTTGCTGGTGAGTTCCTCTTCGATTCTTCTTACTCTTTTGGCGAAGCTCTTTCTTCTTCAATTTTGCTCACCATCGAAGAAAACCCTAAATCATTCGAAGAAGAAACCTCATTTTACGAAACCGTTGGTCGTCGACAAAGCTTTTTCTTCGCTGGTGAGTTCCTCCTCTTCTTCGATTTTTCTTCCTCTTTCTTCGTCGTTGGTGAGTTCCTTTTCTTTGGTGACTATCATTTTAATTATTGAAATTAAAGAATTATAAAAATTGATTTCTTAACTTATTTACCTTTTAATATTCCTAATTCGTTTCTGATTTTTTCTGATCTATTCGTTTCAGATATTTTTTTTTTCCTAATCTTCTATGTAATGACATTAAAATAGTTCGTGGACTTACTTTAGTATTGTTGGTATTGTTGGTATTGTTGAAGAATGATTTTTTTTTTTTTTTTTTTATTTTGTAATTTTTCTTGCATGTTAGCTATAAATATAAATAAATAAATAAATTGACGGACCCAGCCGTACTCGTACCCGTACCCTACTTTTTCTAGAATTTGCTGTATCGCTTTTTTTAGAATTTGCCATATTGCCGTACCCGTATCGTACTCACACCTGTGCTTCTTAGCTTCAATGCCTTTGTTATTGTTGTCACTGTGTTATTGCTGCTGGAATTTGGGAGTTTCGAGTTTTTAATTGTTTTCTTTATCAAGATTAAGGAATGGTTGATAAAAAAACATGAGAGGAAAAAGAAAGATGGGGATCCTACATGGAATCATTATACTCGCAATGTTTAGTGTGGAGTTTTCAGAAAAAGTTTTTTGAGTTTTCAATTCATGTATTTTTTGTTTTTTTACTTTGTAGATCAACTTAATCTAAGTATAAAATTTTGTGGAAAAATCTTTTAAAAAATTTACTAAATACAAAAAAATATAAAAATTTAGTATATTTTTGTGTCTTTTTTGTATTTATTATTTTTTTCAAAGATCCTTCACAAATATTTTACTTTTTAAGTACATCTAGATTAAGTACATCTAAATAATTTTTAAAAAATGACTAAACGATGAAAAATATTCACTAAAAACTACAAAACATGTAAACAAAAAACTCGACAAAATAACATGTTCATTGATTTAGTCTGAATATTTCATATTAAAAATTGACCGAATCTTTACGATTCGCGATTCGGAACAAGGTTATTTTGATTCACGATTCAAATCCCGATTTGACAACTATGATCTAAAGTACTGTCACTACCATCATCAACAATCGAACTGGGAAGCCCCTTATTCTCAAGGAACTCATAGTGAACTTTGTTAAGCAAGAGAAGCTCTTATTGGAGGACAAAGAAGTAACAGAGTCAAAGCATGCTACTATCACTTCTGAACCTCAAAACCCAAAATTGCTCGACTCTCAACTAACTGCCTTGCCTTTATAAACTCCTTTATCGGAGCAATCGTGCAATACTAGTAAGTTAGGATCTCTTGAACCTATAAAGGTTTAAGTCTTGAAACTAGATACTTTTGTTGTTGAGGGTCAATCAACTACTGACAACAAAGAAGGATCGACAAGGATCGACTTTGACCACACAAAAGAAGTCAAAGAAACAAGGGTCGATCCTTTTGCATTGGGGGTGGGTGGAGGCAAGTGGACAAGAGCTTAGACTAGTTTGTGATAAAAAAGGAAAGTTTAATCAAAAGATCATGAGAAGTCACCTTGCAAAACGTCTTCCCTATGGGTACTTCATGAATGACTTGGTTTGGTTTCATCTAATGAAGTAAGGGGCAACCAAAGTCAAAATACATCCCTCGAGTCTTTGTCTTTGACCGCATTGAGCCTCCATCTTATACTAAAATTTTCAATAGGATAAGCACTGCTGACCAAGAAGAGGAAGGAGCAGGATTTTAGCTACGAAGGTCCGTTTGACTCTAAAACACTAGCGCAAAACATAAGAAAGATGAGCGAAAAAAGGGTCAAGAAAGTCAAGGTTGATTTAGGGTGAGTTTGGAATCCACCTATAAAACAATACTTTTTTTTTTGTCTTTAAAAATTGGTGTCAAATTTTTTTTTTTTTTGAAAAAATTGAAAATAAATTCTCTAGAGACAAAAAAAGACTTACTTTTATTTTATTTTATTTTATTTTATTTTTGTCTTGTGGTGGATTTCTCTCCAAAATTTTTATATTTTGTTTTCATTTCTTTGGTCAGTCTAGTCAAGCATGGTGGATTTCTCTCCAAAATTTTTATATTTTGTTTTCATTTCTTTGGTCAGTCTAGTCAAGCAGAACCTAAAAGTGTAATTTAAAATTTTAAAAAAAAGTTAACTAAAGACAAAAATAAATAAATAAAATCAACAAATAAGCCACTCAAAAAGCCAATCTTAGACACACCCTCAACCAAAGAAGATAAAGAAACTTGAAGCTTGATCCCTTCTTCCACGAAGTGCATGATGTCACTCGAGATTAGTCACCATTATACTAACTAAACAAGATGAAGACCAAGTGAAAGATGATAAAAATGAGAAAATTGCATGTTTCACTTTTTAAAGATGTCTAAAGTTCAAATGTTGAAGATGACATGATGGTAGAAACTATAAGACTTGGCAATTGGAGCCAGACACACCTTGACACAAGTCTAAACTGTCTTTCCAAAAACCTTACGCTTCGACACTAGTTTTAATTGTCTTTCAGAATAACCCAACATGCTTAGATGCAAGTCTAAACTATCTCTCAAAAAACCTTACACACCTTGAAACAAGTTTAAACTGTCTTTTAGAAAAACCCAACACTCCTTGATGTAAGTCTAATTTGTCTCTCAAACCAAGACACTTTTTGACATAACTCAACTTAGTTGTTGTTGAATCACTGACAAAATTGTAATTATGTACAAAGTTAATACCAAACACCACATAGATCGAGTAACGTAGGATGTGTTTGGTATCATTTCCGTTGTTGTTTTGTTTTGTTTTGTTTTTTTTTTCTTTTCTTGAGAATATAATAAAAAGGGAATTGTTTGGCTGGGAATAATTTTTTGAAAATAATCCATTTTAGGAAACATTTTAAAGTTTTTTTGGGCGAATAAAACATTTTAAATTTATTTTTTTTAAAATTTAAAATTATGTTTACACAAAAATAAAAACATGCGATGGACATTTTAAAAAAATTCACTTATTTTATAAACAAAAAATCGAAATAAAACATACCAAGAAGCTATTAATCAAACCATACAGTTTGGTTTGGATTAGGCTGATTTACAATTTTTTTATTTTTTTTTCTCAACCCTAAAAAAATCTATCCAAACTGTCACGACAGTGAAATCTATCCAAAATTTTGTACTTACATAAATTTTGTTTCAAAAGACATTAAGCTGTATTGATATCGGTTTGTTTACATTTTAAATGGTTGGTTCAAAATGGCTTGGGTAAATTACACTAACATCACTTAAGGTTTGAATAAAATACAACAAGCCCCACAGTTTTGACATAATTATGCTAACCTCCCTTTTAGTAAGGTTAAAAAGCCTGAAACAAATGCTAATGGTTTGAAGACACAAAGATAAACAAGATGAAATATGCATTCAATATAAAAGAGATGCCGACGTTATTTTTCCATCCATTTGACATATTAATTACTAATGAGAAGGGGATTAAATATTATGTAAATTAAAATTTTAAGGGATTTCCATGTAATTATGCCAAACTTGTGAGGCTTGCTATATTTTCTCCAAACCTCAGGGGAGGGCAGTGTAATTTACCCAACTAGTTGATTTGGTCTTTCTTTGGGTTTTAGCTTTTAGTTTGCAGTTCTGGAGTGTTTGGATGCATTTTCTCTATATTTCACACACACATTGATCCTATGTGATATTTGGGAACCTGAAAACCTGATTTATTGGATATTGTTCTAACTGTTTTACATATAAATGTTCATTTTCTCAAGTCAGTGTGGTTGTTTGAATTCCTTTAAAAATCACCATAGTTGAATGTTCATTGTTTTGTTTGTGGAAATGGAGGGAGCAACCATATTAAGCAGAGTCTGAATGAGCTGGGGTCATTTCTAGATTATATTTAAACAGCCTTTTAGATGATATATTGTGTGACAGTTCCAAACCAGTGTTGATTAGTTACATAACCACAATTGGTGTCTTTTGTTTTCCCACTTTGTAACCTTTGATTATTCTATTATCAGTTTATGCTAGTTTTAACTTTTAAACCAAACTGTATTAGGATGATTTCAGATGGTTTTGCTTATTTTATTTTATTTTATTTTATTCATTGTTTAATATGCATGTCTTAAGCGTGAAGATCATACTAATTCCTTCATTGTTATTGTTGCAGGGATTTTTTAAATGTGAGAATTCCTTGGACAGCAGGATGAGTGACAACGTTTTTGACGGACATATATTAGCTGAGAAATTATCTAAACTCAACAGTTCGCAGCAAAGTATAGAATGTATCCTTGTTTACAGAGAAAATGAACCCTCAAGTTCATTTATGGTCTTCAAAACACTGAAATTTTATGATAACTTCAATCTTGTATGATCATTTAACTGGTGTTTTACAGTAGGAATAGAAATATAATGTACCTACTCCCTAGTCTAACTGAATTGTTTAACTGTTTCCCAAATTCTACGTTCTTGACGTTAGATGCTATAAAGTCTTCTTATATTTGAGTGGCACATTTGGCAGTATTGCCGACAGCCAAGGAAGCACGGGTGCGGCGTACCCGTGGCGTACCCATGCCGTACCCGAATAAGCCAAACGTACCGGACCCTCTTTTGCCGTACCCGGTACGCGTACCGCCGTACCGGTACGCGTACCCGCACCCGGTACTCGTACGGCACTATTTTTGGAGTACTTTGGCAGTATTGCCGACAGCGAACATGTAAAAAAGTCACTTGGATCCTTTATGAAAATGAATTCTACTTTGAATCGTTTAAATGCTAGGTCGTTCCCCTCAAGTGACGCATTGTGCCTGCCTTCGACTGTTTCGAAAAGTGAGCAAGGGGCGCCGCATCGACGCCTGGGTGCGGTGAAAAATGGGCAAAGGTTCCTGCGTTTTTTTGGGCGAGCGCGGGTAAAGAAGCTAGTTCAAGATTATAGGTTTAGGGTAGCCACTTGGAACATAGGAACCTTAACTGGTAAGACGGCGGAATTGGTAAATGTTATGATTAGGAGGAGAATTAGTATGGCTTGCGTACAAGAAACTAAGTGGACGGGTGAGAAAGTTAGGGAAATTGAGGATACCAGTTTTAAACTGTATTAATAGTGGTAAGGATAGACACATGAATGGGGTAGGAATCATAATTGCCAAGGGTCTTGTGGAGAGTGTAGTGGTGGTCACTAGGAAAGGGGATAGGATTATGCTAGTTAAACTAGTTATTGAAGAGAATATAGTGAACGTTATTAGCGCATACGCCCCTCAAGTAGGATTAGATTATTAGACTAAGATTTTTGGGAGAAAATGGATGAGATCTTACGGGAGATACCCGTAGGAGAGAACCTGGTCATAGGTGGAGATTTTAATGGCCATGTAGGCATATAGATAAACTAGGCTATGAAAGGATGCATGGTGGATACGGTTTTGGTGACAGAAATGAGGCTGGAGAGAGTATCTTAGATTTTGTATTGGCTTCTGACCTGGTGGTGGCCAATACTATGTATAAGAAGAAAGATGAGCATTTGATAACTTTTAAGAATGGGTTAGTTAAGAGCCAAATAGATTACGTCTTAGTGAGAAAAGTAGACCGCCTAAAATACAATAATTGTAAGGTGATTCCTGGAGAGAGCCTAGCCTTTCAACATAGGATTTTGGTACTAGATTTATGTTTTAGAGGGCAATACCAAGCTAGAAAGGATGGTGGGCGTCGTAGGACGAGATGGTGGGACTTAAAAGGGGATAAACTAGAAATATTTAAGAATCGAATGGATAAAGAAGGTACTTGGGACATGGAAGATGATGCTAACACTATGTGAAACTCGATGACCAATTGTATGAGGAGAATCTCAATGGAAGTGCTTGGAGAGTCAAAAGGAACGGGACCCAGCTCTAGGGAAACTTGGTGGTGGAAGGAAGAGGTTTAAGTGGTAGTTAAGGCAAAAAAAGAGTGCTTTAAAAAGTGGCAGAAAGATAGAACTAAGGAAAACCTTAAGAGCTATAGATTGGTTAATAAGGAGGTCAAGAAAGTAGTGACAGAGGGTAAGTTGAAAGTTTATGAGGACCTATACACTAGACTAGATAGTAAGGGGGGAGAGAAGAGGGTATACAAACTTGCTAAGATACGGGAGAGGAAAACAAGAGATTTTAATCAAGTTAAGTGCATTAAGAGTGAGGATTCTAAGGTATTAGTGACGGATGAAGAGATTAAGGAAAGATGGAAGAATTATTTTGAGAAACTATTAGATGAGAAACATGGAGGTACGGCAATAGGGAAGTAATAGCCAGTAATACGATAAACCAAGACTATTGGTGTTATCGTAGGATTAGGAACTTTGAAGTGGAGATTGCGTTTAAGAAGATGAAATCAAATAAGGCTTTAGGACCCAATGATATCTCTATTGAAGCCTGGAAGTGTTTGGGTAAAAAGGGAGTTGCTTGGTTGATTAGGTTGTTTAGCAAAATTTTGTTGACTAGGAACATGCCAGATGAGTGGAGGAAGAGTATTTTAGTACCAATCTATAAGAATAAAGGTGATGTCCAGAATTGCAACAATTATAGAGGAATCAAGTTAATGTGTCATATAATGAAAGTGTGGGAGAGGGTGATGGAACGCCGATTGTGAGATATAACAGAGGTGTCAAAGAATCAATTTGGGTTTATGCCTGACATTTCAACAATGGAAGCGATCTATCTTTTGAGGAGAGTAACAGAAAAATATAGAGAAAAGAAAAGAGACATTCATATGGTGTTTATTGACCTTGAGAAAGCATATGATAGAGTGTCCCGAGATATAATATGGTGGATGTTAAAGAAGAAAGAGGTGACAAAAGGTTACATTGATGTGATTAGGGACATGTATGAAGGGGTGGTGACCACTATTAGATCGTCTGCTGGAGAGACAAATGAATTTCCTATCACTGTAGGGTTACACCAAGAATCTACCTTAAGTCCTTATCTTTTTGCTTTAATTATGGATGAGTTGACGAGAAATATTCAGGATAACGTGCCATGGTGTATGCTTTTTGCAAACGATATCGTGCTAGTGGATGAGACTAGAGAAGGTGTTAACACAAAGTTGGAGATTTGGAGAAAAGTTATTAAATCTAAAGGATTCCGGATAAGCAGAACTAAGACAGAATACATGAAGTGTAAATTTAGTAACAGTAACAATGAAATTAGTGGAGAAGTGAAGATTGAGAATCAAGAACTGCCTAAGAGTGAACATTTTCGTTATTTAGGGTCGATTATCACAACAGCGGGGGAGATTGATGCGGATGTGGTCCATAGGATTAAGGCGGGATGGTGTAAGTGGAGAAGTGCGTCTGGGGTATTGTGCGATAAATGAATATTCACTAGACTAAAAGGTAAGTTCTATTGAACGACTATTAGACCAGCAATGTTGTATGGGACGGAGTGTTGAGCAATTAAGAAACAATATATAGATAAGATGAGTGTGGCTGAGATGAGGATGCTAAGTTGGATGTGTGGTAAGATTAGACAAGACAGAATTAGGAATGAGTGTATTCAGGAGTGGGTAGAAGTAGCACCGATAGAAGATAAGTTGAAAGAGAATCGATTGAGATGGTTTGGTCATATTCAACGGAAACCAACAGAGGCAGTAGTAAAGAGATGTGATGCTGTAACGGTAGATGAAAGTGTTAGGGGTAGGCCTAGATTAACGTCGGCTAGTGTTGTAAATAGAGATATGAATCTACTTAATTTGACTAATGAAATGGCCTTTGATAGAGTCTCGTGGAGAAGGATTCATGTAGCCGACCCCATTTGATGGGACTTAAGGCAAGGCTTGGCTTGGTTTGGTTTGGTTTGGTTTACATTGGCAGTATTGCTGGGATGTAGTGGTCTTTCTACATTTAAATTACTTTACATATTTAGCAACACATACATAACTTGTATGTCATAAAATGCATATACATGTTTTTTAAAAAAAATTAAAATGCATATGCATATGCATGTTTTTTTTAAAAAAATTAAAATTTGTTGATCAGTTACAAAGAAGCATTATTAATAATTAATAAATATAATAAAAGTACAAGAGGAACAAAAAGAGATACAAAGGAGGACAAGAAGCACTCCTAAAAGAAATAGAAAAAAGCACTAGGAATCACACACTGCCCTCCATTTGCTAATAATAAAAAAACAAATTATTTTTGTTAAAAGATGGGAAATTGTCACTGAACGGAAGCCAAAAAACAAACTTCCTCCAATACACTTTCAAAATCTGCAGTTTTTTTCTAAAATGTTTTTGAATTCTTTTCCAACCAAATTACCTAAAGTAGTGCACAAATCACACAATTCCAAAGCTCCCGAGCTTTATTGTTAAGGCCAAACACTCAAGTCTCCAACATCTCGACACATGATGAAGGTAAAACCCAATCGAACTCTACAAATCGTAAAAATATCCACCATAATGCCTAAGCTAAAGGACAATGCAAAAGCAAATGATCACAACTCTCCTCATTCTTCTTGCACATAACACACCATTTTGTTTGTGTATTCGTAATTTGTTGGACATGATAGACGAAATATTATATTGCCTTGTGAGTTCAAATCCATCATTCTTCATCTCTTAACCAAACCAAACCAAACCAAGTATCATGTCCCAATCAAGTGGGGTAGGCTATGTTTTCTCCATTTTACTCTATCAAGGGCTATATGCTTAGTTAAATTAAATAAATTCATATCTTTTTTTACTACTGCATCACATATCAGTTTAGATCTTCCTCTCCCCCCCAACATTTTCATTTATGGTAATTGTATCGCTCTTCCTTACTGTTGCATCTGTAGGTCTTTGCTGTATATGATCAAACCATCTTAGCCTTTTCTCTATTCAACTTAGTTTCAATTGGTGCTACTCGTATCATTTCACGAATATATTAATTTCTAATTCTCTCTTTCCTAGCCTTACCACACACCCATCTAGGAATTCTCATCTCAGCTACACTCATTCTATGAACGTGTTATTTCTTCGTTACCTATACATTTTGTTCATTTTAGTTTAGATCTTCCGTTCATTTTAGTTTAGATCTTCCTCTCTCCCTTGACATTTTCATTTATGATAAACATATCACTCTTCCTTATTGTTGCATCTATAGGTTTTTGGTGTACATGATCAAACCATCTTAGCCTGTTATCTCTCAATTTATTTTCAATTGGTGCTATCCCTATCATTTTGCGAATATGTTCATTTCTAATTCTCTCTTTCCTAGCCTTACCACACACCGATCTAAGAATTCTCATCTCAACTACACTCATTTTATGAACGTGTTATTTCTTAGTTATGTATATATTTTGTTCGTATAGTATTATTGGCATTATAGCTATTCTATAAAAAAATTCTTTCTATCTTGTTGGTATTTGTCAATCATATTACACCATTAATGTATGAAGTGTGCAAATGCTCTTGCTGCCGGCCGGTTTCTCATTTTCCTGGCAATAAGATGTAGAACCTTTTGGCAACATGATGAATAGGTTTTGGTTGTGCTATCTCTGTAAGCATCAATCTTTCTAGTGCTTTCATAGCTCTTTTATCTCTCATTATTCTTGACCTCGTGCTGTTTATTGAGATTATACTCGTCATGTACATTTATTGACAATGATTTTTTTTTTGCAAAAGTCTTCTGGTTGTTTCTTAGGTTTTTATCTAAAGCCTATTCATGTTTTAATTATGGTCAAGTGAAGTATATGTTTCTCAACTGTATCGATTCAGTCTCTGGGTACCTTTCTCTTTGCTTTTGCATTGTGCTGTATTGGCAATGCTAAAGTAGGGGTGACATGAGATCTTACAAATGGCATAATAGTTCTTTCAAGAGAGTTAATGTTATTTTTATTTAGTGAGATGAATTCTATTTAAGATGCTTAAAGAAATATGTACTAACTAGGGAGTCACTGGTCAAACTTAGTTAATGTTTTAGTTGATAATTTTTTTTCTTTCTTAAGGAATGTGTTTTGAGTCTCTGTTGTAATGTAAGTCTTGATCAGTGTCTCTCCAAGGTAGATTATTTTGATGATGACGCTTAATTTGTGTGTATCTTCTTGCTAGGGTTGAGTGCTTAGACTAATTTGCTAACAAGAACACATACTTGAGAAATGTGGCTTGGTTGTCTCGATTGATTTGCTAATTAGAACCATGAAGGGGTTCTGTTTCCCTGTTGATCTTAGGAGTGTTTTCCCCTATTTGGTTGAGGTCTCCTGTTCATACATCCAAGCTCCAGTCTGCATCATATTGAAGTCAAAGCAGATTTCACTTCATTGGGTTAAAAAATTATCGGTAGAATTTTTACTCTATTTGAGCTACAATCTGAATGTTCTCCAATTATCAGACCTTGAGAATTGCATATTGGTGGTTTCAGTGATAAAAAGTGGTGATTTTCCTCCCTCCATTTCCCCATGCACTTTCACAAACTCACCCAATAAAATCCTCTCACCTTTTTTGTTTGTTCCAAACCCACTACCATTCCAAAATTCTCCTTCCAGCTACCCTTTTCCACATGGTATTAGCTTCCATGGATTTTTTAATATGCAAGTGAGGAATGTTAGGTTTCCATTGTTCAGATAATGATTTTGTTCTCCCAAGTGAATGGTGTCTTCTTCTTCTTCTTCTTCTTCTTCTTCCCCCCCTTTTTTTTTTTCTTTTTTTCCATTTTTAATTTTATTTTTAATAGTGATACAACCGAGTCTTACATGCATAATTGAAATATTTTTCCCATGTGTAGTATTTTCAAATTAGTTTTGCTTTTCAAGAGTGCATTAGTTTATAGTAGCAGCTTCTATTGTGTCCTTTTGAAGATTCAATGCCCTGTTGAAATTTGTTTTGATTAGTTTCACTTTTGCTGTTGAATGGAATTATGGAAAGTGCTTTTCAGTATGTCATGTCCTTTTCATTAATAATATATTCCTTCAAAAATCTGGTTAGCATAACTATTGTTAAAGTTTTAGATGTATTCATCAAATTGCTGCTAGTTTATAAATAATTAGAATCTCGCCACCAGTATAGCATACTCATCTTTAATTAGAAGCCATTTACGAAGAATGTTTTTCATGAACTATTCTTTCATCTTTTTATTTTTTTCTTGGCGGCACTTTTTCTTGGGATAGCCTTTTCTTTTTGTGCATTTGGGTTTCTTTTTGCTGGTTTTGTAATGGGTATAACATGGCTTGCATTTCCTTGACAATTTGTTAGCATTATCCCGTTGGTGCATTTCTCATAGAAAAAGAGCTAGACAGATTGTTGAAACATGGGACAAAGCATCCAGTGCTGCTCAGCGAGAACAGCGAATTTCTTTCCTATATTTGGCCAATGACATTCTGCAAAATAGTAGGCGAAAGGGCAGTGAGTTTGTGAATGAATTTTGGAAAGTCCTTCCTGCGGCTCTCAAGAATGTTTATGAAAGTGATGATGATCATGGAAAGAAAGCAGCCTGTAGACTGGTAACTCCTACTCATTTATGAAGAAAGCATTTCCTTCAATTTTGTCAGTTTTCAGGTTGAAGATAAAGTTGAAATTTCTATATGTGCATATATTTTTATGTATGTACTACGTACACACATACATAGCATATTTGTAAACCCTAAACCCCAAACGTTTAACTGCACTTGTAAATATCTATGAAATCAAATCTGACCTATGATTCTGCCTTTTCGCAATTTTCTATCTTACCTGCTTAATAAAGAATTCAGTAATGCATGCATTGTGTAACTGGATGATGGGCTTCCTTTGAGTCCTCAGGTTGTGGCTTTTGTATAGATGCAGACAAACTAGATCCTAGTTGCACGAAGTGGAAGCGGGGGTGGGGGAGCGAGAACCTATAGAAGTTTCTAAGGCTAGAAACACCTATGGGAGCATGTATAAATTTTATATATTAAATATATAAATATATTCTAACAATTATGTTTTTTTCTTAGTTCTAAAATGTGTAAAAATATGAATAAATATTTGAGATTGATGTCAACTTCAAATAGTCTGTCAACTACAAATAAATATTACGTAAGTCAAAAGTATTATAATAAATTGAAGTTATTAGCGAGTTTTTCACAAGTTTCTTACTTGAGATTGCAAAAACAAATTTCTCAATAAGAAACATCACCTATGTAGGAGTTTGTTGCTACTAAGAACTGGATTAGTTTAAGAACCTCTTGTAATTCATAACATGGGTTTGCACAATTTGTTGATTGGGCTGCGGTCTTTCTGTTTTTTGTGGTTTGGGTGAAGAAGCAGAGTTTGTGTCCTTCGTGATGTGGTTGTCTTGTTGATGTAATAGGGTTTATTGTTTTGGTTCTCTTAAGTGGATAGTTGTCTCTTTTGCCTATAAATAGGTGGTTACGTCTTTTAGTAATTAGTTTACGACATTTAAGATTGTTGAGATTCTCTCTAATGAAATCCTCTTCCTAATTTTGGTTCCATCATTTTGGTTTCATAGCTAAGAGATTTGCCTATTGATCCTCATTCATGTACCAATTGCATGAATGTGAGAAGTTACAAACTTGATTTTTGAAACCCTAGTTTATAGCTTCAAAATCTCTGAAACCTTAACTTGCAGATGATTTTCGTCCTTTTTTCTGAATCCTTGTTCATCATCGAAGTTAGTTGAGTCATCTTTGTAAGTTGATCTTACATGTCAGAGAAGGATTGCGCTTTGTTCATGACTTGTTTTTGCTTTTGGAATTGACATCGCGACTTTGATCTCATTGCATCGATTTACGAATTGATAAAGCCCTAAGCTTTGACATCACAAACTACTTTCAATTTGTGACTCCAAAGTCGTGCTTTGATCTTGACTTTGATTTCATGCTTGGAATTGAGATCTCAACAGTGTGCATTCACGATTTGTTCTTGGTTCAACCTACTAGCGTTCGACTTTGGTGCAATTTGACCTAGCCAATTGAGAGTCGACATTTCAAAAATTGTATTCTTGATTGTGAATGGTAATCGATCTTTGAGCTGGCAACTATGAATTTGATTTTGACCTATGAATTGACTTTGTGACTCGATATGTTCTTCAACTCTAAAAGGAAGATTTTCTAGTCTTCAATTTTGAACTTTGAAGTGCTATAATGAGTGTTTCACTATTTTGGGTTTGTCATATCCAGGGTGGTGTTGTCTTCGAGTAATATTGAACACAAATTGACGACGGTAATTGAGGCTCTTTGTTGCTTTGAATCTTGCTTGGAAATGTTGCGATTTGTTTTGATTGTGGTTATCAAAATGTTCAACCAGCAGCGTCCAATACTCCGAACCCTAGCTAAATATATATATATATATATACATATTTTAACCAAACCAAATAGATAATGACCACACTTATTATTATTATTATTATTATTATTTTCAAACAATATATAGATAGATACACACAAACAAAATGGTTGAGTGATGACAGCTGAATAGAATAGTATAGGTCTTACAGTTTTAACAAATCATTATTATGTTCTTCATCTTCCTTCTTCCTTCTTCCCTCTCACCATCTTTTGCTCCTCCATCTTCTCTCTTCTCTCTATCCCTCTTCCCCCATTTTTAGCTTCTTTTTTTTTGTGTTTTTTTTTTTTGAAAAAAGTAGTTCGGAACCGTTATGTAACGATGCATAACAGGCCATTATGGCTGTTATGACACCGTTATGACCTCTACGGCAACCGCTACGGCCAACACACCTGTGAATCTCAATCACACTGCAAAAACGGCCATAACGGGTGGCGGTAACCACCACAATTATTACGTAACGGTTGCGGCTGCTTTTAAAGTCCTTTTGCTCTTCAAACACGTCTTTTTAGGAATATCTTCCGCAAGCCTTGTCTCTTTATCTTGTGTTCGTGTTTGCTGAACTGTTGTGTGGGAACTTTATTTTGGAAAATCTTGATCGATGTGTGAAGAGCTATTTTGATGACATCTTATTTCACAAACGGCATGCCACATGGGTGTCTACTCACACTTCAACATGGCTTTGGTAGATGTGCATAAACAAAAACTCATTTTCAAGGAAGGGTATTTGTTAAGGTGATTTTGAACAAGGACTTGCAACCACTTAGTCTTATTCACTGTTGCATGTCCATTGTACCTTCGTTTGTCATTTTTGTGTCATTTTGTTGATGTCTCCAACTTGAGGACAAGTTGTTTCCTTTAGAGTGAGAGTCTGATGTAATAATGTTTAGAGTTTTGGTGCTCTTAAGTATTTAGTTCTCTTTTTTGCCTATAAATAGGAGGTTAGGTTATTTTAGTAATCAGTTCATGATATTTAAGATTGTATTTTTGTGAGCTTAGTACTCTTGTATCTCAAGTTGAGATTTTCTTTCTAATGAAATGCTCTTCCTAAATTTGGTTCCATCATTTGTTTTATCTTGGAAATGTTCTTCCATTCTAACATTTTTTATTTATATATATAAAAAAAACTCAAATAAGAAATTTCATCACTACTGTAGCAAGGGTGAAGACCCTTATGCATGTTTAGTATTCAAACAAAGCTACTGGTTGAAACAAGTTGAAATTCACAACTGGGTGATGTTTTATCTAGGTGATATGGTTGTAAATTAATGTCTAGGTGATTTTTGGTCTCTGTTAGGGCTGCAAATGAACCGAGTTGTTCATGAACATACTTGAGCTCAGCTCGTCTCTCATTCAGTCCAGTTTGTTTAATAAATAAATGAGCTCGAGCTAAAATTTTAAGCTCATTTGTTAATCGAGTCGAGCTCAAGCTCAACCCAAGCTTGACTCGAAACAGCTTGCAAGCCAAGCAAATATGAATAAAAATAATAATATATATATTGTTATATTATTAGATAGATATAAATATGTTAGACATAGCACCTGTAGACCATCACTTTTAGAATGCATGAGGGACTAATGCATCTTCTTCTTTAGCGATGTGGGAATGAATAAAATGTGCAGCGATGACGGCATTTTGAAAACAAGCTGTTACATTTCACCTATTTGTAGCTGTCCCACATCACTTATCATAACGTTGGCACAATTACATGCTCACTATATAAGAGGGGCTTGAGATGTCCAGCATGATGGTTTGGTGACAATCTTTACCATTTCGACCCAAGATTGAGCCAAGCTTGAGTTTATCAAATATCTCACAAGCCAAGCTCAAGCTTGTATGATAACGCTAGACTTGAGAGTCCACAGATGCCGAAAGGGTGTGCCCCTGGTAGCAGCAATGTATCCACTTACAATGCTGGCATAACTTGTTGAAACCCCAAATAAGGACAGAAACAGAGAACTTTAGGTCCCATGCCAACAATTTAGCATTTGATAATTAGTAGTTGTCTTGCTGCTTTTGAATAGAATTGAGTACCGTAAGTCCCTTGCCAAACCATGTAGTAAGTGATCATTAATAGTCTCAGCTCGTGACATTGTGAGCATATGAGGCTTGTTAGGTAATGTTCTACGCTTTGCACTAAATCCATGGTCAGGGTTTTCTCCAACATGAATGTCCAAGCAAACAATGCAATCTTAGAAAGCACTTTGAAATGCTAAATGCCTTTCCAAGGAAATGTGATACTCCACCTTGACAAAAAGTTTGTAGCATATATTTGAATTTTGGTCCCCAGGCAGCATAGCCAGCTGAAGCCTATTTTGATGTATTTGGAAAAAAATTTAACTGAGGCCAAAAGGCAAAAATTAAGTGAGATCCTTTATAATTTTTTTTGACATTATCATTTAATTTAAAGTAAATATCTCTCATTTTTTTTTGAGATGCAAAGTCGCTAATTTAAGTTTTTAAATTCATGTTTTTCAAACATATCATTTTCAATTGATATTATGAGTGATCCAATTAATGTATCTTGTGTCATCGTTGATATTAGGTATGATTTTATCAATTTTTTACTTAAAAAAACATTTTACTGTAGAAGCAACTATTTACATGTATTGACAATAATATGTTGTAAACAATACATGTATTTGGAAAATAAACTATATTTATTTATTTATTTATTTATATAATGTAGTTTGTCAACTAGGATGTGTTTGGTCTGTGCTAAATAAGCTACTTCTTGGCTAATTTTAGCATTCACCAAGCACATTAACTTTTTTAGCAACAACATTATCCTATAAACATTGACGTCTCAGTGTTTGTTTCAAAAGAGAAATTTGTCTATTGGAAGAATTTTCAATGTTACAAAGTGAGTTTATCATTTAACAGAGCACTTTCTATGTTAAATACAAATTCAAGCTTCTTTGATTGGTTGAATTGAGAAATGTCTCTGTTGGACAAAATTTTACTGATTGAATTGAAATTGTTCTCAAATAGAGAAATTGCTGTATTGTTTTGACGTTCAAGTATTGGTGTTGTAAAAGGGAAATTTCGGTGTTGAAACTTGAAAGAATTTTCCACTGATGAAGTGAATTATTGTTTAGTGGTGGTGGTGGTTGTTTGGGCTCTTCCAAAACAAATTTAACTAACAGAAATTTCTCTGTTCAACAACAAAGAAAA